TTCAAAGAAATATTATTGAAACTTCAAATGTGAGTGAAGAGTGATCAAGTCTCTCATTGATTAAGATTGAACTAAGTTATGTGAAAAAGACATAAATCATTGTTTAAGGTTTAGGGATAAGATGTGTTGTCATGTTCACTTATTATTGTGATATGTGTTTACTATCTAAGCAATTGATAATCATCTTAGTAAAGATTATTGATAGTTTCATATTAAATAAATAAATAAATAAATACCATATGAATGAAAAGACCGTATATTCATTCCCATGTAATTTGTCAATTAATCCATTAATAAAGTACTCGCTTGACCATCCAACACCACTTGCCTAGACTATAAGCCAAGTTTGTCATCCTAAAACAATGCCACTTATTATAAATAAAGCCATTGTGCTGACTGTAGAAATTTAGAGAATTTGAAAAGAATTCATACTTGATTGATTTCATTCATACATAGACATGTGATTTATACAGTGTTGGCTGATTTATTCTAGGAAAGAAATTATACAGTTGTTGATTGATTTATTCTAGGAAAGAAAAAAAATTATTTGTACAAATATCCCCCTAAATTTGTTTATTTAAGGTGATTGGGGAGAGAATCTTGCCTCTTTTATTTGAGGTAATCAAGGAAGCTGTTCTTCAGAGACTTGCCAATCATTATATGGAAGTTTCCTCCAGAGACTGCCTTGGTGAGTATACCAGCAAGCTAGTATTTAGACTTCCGAATGGGAAATGAATTATTTGATGGTCCAGCTTTTCCTTGATGAAATGACGATCTATTTCCTTATGTTTAGTGCGATCATGTCGAACAGGATTCTGAGCAATCTGTATGGAAACTTTGTTGTCACAAAATAAGTTTATGGACTCTCTACATTCAATTCCTAACTCTTCCAAGACTTTCTTTATCCATAATAATTCACATAAGCCTTGTGCACTTTCTCGAAATTCTGCCTCTGCACTAGATTGGGCAACAACATTATGCTTTTTAGTCCTCCAAGTAATAAAATTTTCTTCTACAAATGTCATGTATGTAGAGGTGGATTTTCTTGTTGATTGATCTCCTACCCAATCTGCGTCGTTATATCCTTCTGTGGTAAAGGTTGCATTTTTTGTGTACAACAACCCTCTGCTTAGTGCAATCTTTTGATGCTATACCCTTCTATGGTAGAGGCTGCATTTTTTGTGTACAACGACCTTTTGCTTAGTGCAATTTTTAGATACCTCATGATTCTGTAAACTGCATTCATGTGTTTCTCATTTGAAGCATGCATAAATTGGCTAACCACACTTATTGCAAATGCAATATATGGTTTGGTGTCAGTGAGATAGATCTATTTTTCTACTGGCCGCTGATATTGACCTTTATCACACATACCTTCTCCGGTGGACATTTTAAGCTGATGGTTCATCTACATTAGGGTTTCAACCAATTTGCAGTCTAACATATAGGTTTCTGCCAACAAGTCTAACCTATACTTCCGATGAGAAAGTGAAATTCCCTGCTTGGATCATGCCTATAAAGTAGCGCAATTGTCCCAAATCTTTCATTTCGAACTTGGTTACCAAATATCGTTGCAAATTCTCCATTTCTTCGGAGTCATTTCCTGTTAGGACCATGTCATCTACGTATACAATCAAAGATGTCACTTTGTCCCTGTGTTTGATTGATAAAGTATGATCAGAATTACTTTGCTTGTACCCAATTGACTTCAAAGCCTCAGTGAACCTGTTGAACCGAGTTCTGGTGATTGTTTCAACCCATATAATGATTTATCCGACATACATATTTTTCCTTCATGTGCAGGACCTTGTTTGACCCCTAGAGGAATTTTCATATATACCTTTTCTTCCAAGTCATTATTTAGGAAGGCATTTTTTACATCAAACTGTCGTAGAGGTCCGTCTCGATTAGCTGCAATTGATATGAGTATGCGAACAATATTGAGTTTTACTATTGGAGCGAAAGTCTCCTGATAATTGACTCCATATTTTTGTGTCTACCCTTTTGCCACTAGTTTTCCTTATACCTATATTGCTTCAATCTGCTTTGAGTTATATTGTGTACACCCATTTGCATCCAACTATCTTTTTTTCTTTAGGTAGTGGACTAGTTCCCAAGTTGGATTCTTATACAGTGTTTTCATCTCTTCATTCATAGCCTTTTTCTACTTTGGATATGCCAATGCATCTTGCACACTACTAGAAATAGATACTTTGGATAATTGATCAACAATTAAAGCATAAGAATTCGACAATCGACTAGTAGAGGTATGATTATTTATGGGATATTTGGCACAAGAATTAAGATCAAGTTCATATACCCTTTTTGGAATGCCTCTATTTGATCTCATAGTGTAACAAGGCATGGAATCATGGTTAGTGATATTACCCGGTTCATTATGTGAAGACTCTTCAAGTGGTGGTGTTAATACAGCTTCTTCAATACTGGCGTTGACCACGTTAGGCTCTATATTATTTTGGTCAACATCAAACACAACAATGTCTAGATTTGTCGTTTGGCAAAAAAATTAATATATTACTATTTTAATAAATAATTACGAATACATAGCTGCTTCAAACTATCTACGGATCTATTGTACTTATTCACGCCCAAATTAGGCGTGACTCCCAAGGCATTCACGCCTAATTTAGCCGTGAATCATTTGGTGTTGACACGTGGCAAAAAAGTCAACTTACGAACCATAAAACTTTGGAAAGCCGTAACTTTTGACTCGGGTATCCGAATGAGGTCATTCTTTTTTTGATTCCACATAACTTTTTGAGATCTACGTAATGACATCTCATTTGATATATTTTATCTCTCACAAACACAATTCAAATTTACAACAATGATACTATAAAGATGGCACCAAAGTGGATTAACTCATTTATAAATAAGATGGCACCAAATTTTCTATTAAATACAAAACGCAATCAGCTCCTATTAAATACAAAACACAATCAACTCCTATAACATTAAATTCAAAATTCAAATAACCACCAACAATTTCTTTGAATTGGCGACAATTTGTAACCAACTCATAAAATTACAACGCAATTAGCTCCTATTAAATACAAAACACAATCAACTCTTATTAAATACAAAATGCAATCAACTTATTGGAGGTTATTTGAATTTTGAATTTAATGTTATAGTACCATTATTGGGCGTGAATGAGTGCAATATATTCGTAATTAGGTTCAAAACGGCAACTTATTCGTAATTATTTATTAAAAAAGCAATATTTTAATTTTTTTGCCTCTACCAAGTGTTTGAAAAAAATAGTGTACAAGGTTATTTATTTAATTATTAAAATATATACAAAATTATATAATATTCTTCCAAGTGTTTAGAATATTTATTTAATTATTTTCTTTATTAATACATATTTTTCAAATTAATTTTTGAGTTTAAATCACAAATTAAATATTTATTTTGTTTTTCTTATTAATAATAATTTTTTGTGGAATGTAATTTTAATGGGGTCATAACACCTATGTCTCTCTTGTCAACACTTAGTTGATTTTTTGGAATGTAATTTTAATGTGTTTTCATTTTATAATACCGTGCTATAAATCTATTGCGATTGGTCTACTAGTTTCAACATCTTCGGCAGTTTTTATTTTTCCTTTTTTGAAAAAAATAATATTAGAAGGCATTTCAATCCTAAAAATAATATTATTATATGATACAATATTAACAATAAATACAATATTTTAAATGCGAACGATGGGATCAAGTTTAAATCAGCATCGATTCATACCATTGGGTGCGTACAAAAAATATCTAATCCATAATGTTAGATACATAGTTACCGAAATAATATAAAAATTGATGTTATCAAAAAAAAAAAAAAATATAAAAATTGCAAAATAAGCTAGAAAATCAAGAATTAACAAATAAAATTTAAAATGAAAAATCCTCAGCTAACTAACAAGTGAAGAATCACGGGTATGAGACTTGTAAGAAGTATGATTAAGGGGAAAAAAATTATAATTTCTAACTGTATGGAAGAAGAAAAAGGTAGATGCATACATCTCTCTCTTTATGCACAATAAAAAATAGGGTTTTATACATATCATGTTGCATGACATTTTTAGTGTCATGTTACTATCACATGACAAATGAGACCCGCCTTGTTTTTTTTTTCTTTTTGAGTGAGACTCACATAAAATGTATTAGAGTAACATGACACTAAAAGTGTCCTATAACATAACATATATAAAACCCTAAAAAATATTATATGAAGTTTTGAACGAGAAGCTCTGCAATTTTCTTGGATATTATTAGGGGGCGTTTGGTTGAGGAGAAATTTTTTGAATACTAGGAAAATGTAATTGATAGGAAAATGGTTGGAAAGTGAGTTTGATAGGAAAATATAAAAAAAGTTGTTTGGTTGAAAAAAAATTTACTGGACAAATTAGATAAGATTTATAAAGTTTATATTTTACTGGGCAAATATAAAAATATAACCACTTTTACATTATCGTCTTCCTCCAAAAAAAGTTTGAATACTCAACAAATATCACCCGCTCATTTTAATTTCTTAAAAAAAAATTTACTAGTGATATTTCTGAAATTTAAAATAGATCCAATTAATTAAAATCATGGTCCATCTGAAATTCAAAAAAAAATTTACATTAATTCCGCAAAAAAATTAACATAGGTCTATTTTGAATTTCAAATGAGACATTGAGTCAATTTTATTTTTCTAAAAAATTAAATTGAGACTCATAATATTTACTGGCGATCCAAAAATTACTTTACTCTTTTCTTTTATATTCTTCCTCCCTTTTTTTACTCTCTTGATGTTTTGTTTTTCCTTCCTTTAGTTCTTAAAAAATGACTCTGCTTATAGTTGATTTGTAACTGAAAAGGAGGACAGTTAACACCACACAAGCGCCCCTACGCATTTGAATTGGTTTCCTTTGCCAACCGCAAATCTGAATTTTGAGTGCATGTTATGCCGAAACCAAGCGTCCTCAAAATTAACTCAATTCATGGCTACCATTTCTGCAAGTTGCTACCTCTTTGTTCCTATTCTTTTGTCGTTATGCCACATAACACTATGTGCAACAGTGATAGAAGACCTTAAAAACTTACACCAACCTCCAGATTTTAACTCTACAATTATGACCAACTGTCTCAAGAATCCATCTCTTAGGTACTGTAGTTCTTCTCCCACGGACCTTGATGAAATATTCAAATATACTATTGTTGCTAGCCATCTTTGCAATGAATCAAAGAACCCCAATTGTGTGGAGTCATTCCCTAAAGTTGATCTTAGAAACCGACCAAATGTTGCACCTCTTTATTTGTCATTTGATTTCTTTTGGAGGTATTGCCCCTTGAGCATTATGTCCATTGATTTGTCCAACAATTCTATGAAGGGTAGTTTTCCAATTGATGTTCTCTATTGCACCCAAATACAGGCTCTTGATTTAAGTATCAATGAGTTTTCTGGTGACATCCCAGTTCAAAGTTTCTCTCCTCTGACCAACCTCACTTTTCTTAACCTCTCCTATAATTGTTTTTCAGAGATTGACTTGTTTGATTCCCAATTCTTCAAAAGGTTTAATTCTTCTAGTTTTCTTCATTCTGGTGCTCTCCTGGATCACAAAAGGTTTACATTAAAGGCTATCATTCTATTGGTTGGCTTTCCCATCATTGTCATTTTGATGGTAATTTTCTTGGGATGGCTTTGTTTCCAAAGGCCTGATTTTCTACCAAGAAAATTTCAAAGACGTAGGAGGTTTACACCAGCAATTCTAAAGGCTGCAACTGCTGGTTTTTCTATTAAGAATTTGGTGGGGAAGAGTGATGTTGTTCATATCTACAAAGGGATCTTGAGAGATGGTACTGAAGTGAAAATTGAGATGTATTGGGATGATATATCAAGGGATAACTATCGTAAATTTGTTGAAGAATGTAAGGTTCTTTCTGAGTTACACCACAAGAACCTTGTTCGAGTTCTGGGGTGGTGCAGGAGCAGGAAATTCAGGGCTATTATTACAGAATGGACAAAAGAAGAGAATGTTGAAATGTGGTTATCAGGGTCAGCTCCAACATGGAATCATAGATTGAAAGTGTTAATGGGAGTTATAGAATGCATGCGTTATCTGCAAGAGGAATGGCCTGAAGTTGACTATGACCTCAAGACAAGTAGTGTTTTATTGTCTGAAAATATGGAACCATTAATTTCAAGGTTCAAAGTTGGAGATCAAAACAGCAGTCGAAGAAGTAAGAATAATAGACAATTAGCACAAACACACACAATCAAAATTTCTTCCCTTATGATGTCTTTTCTTTTTTATTGTTTTATGACTTGTTTGGTAATTGGTATTTTCTTTTATATTGTAGAGATATGTAAGTTTGGAGTTTTCCTGCTAGAGATGATACTAAACAAGAGGGTTGAAGAGGAGTTTGATGGAGGTGAAGCTGGATTTATTAGGTACATGAGAACCCTTCATCCTGTAGAGTTGCAGCAGATGATTGATGAGAAAATGGAAGTAACTGAAACAACTTTTCATCAAGTTAAACAGGTTCTATCCATAGGATTAATGTGCATAGACCAATCAAACAGTGAGCAGCCAAGTTTGGCCATGATATTTAATACTATAGCAAGAGCCTACAGGGCTAGCCTTGTTTTGCCATCTGCAAATCATAGAATATTTCATGGAGATAGATTTAAGGGACACATGCGCCTTCAATCCAGATAAGTCATTATATCAGCGGATATTTTCTTCAGAATTGATCCTTAGAATTAGTGTTGTCTCGGTTCTGATTTCTGAGTTTTTTTTTTTTTTTTTTCCTTAACTTATTCAATGTTTTATTAGACTTATAATAGTAGCATTAGCGTTAGGCATACATTGTATTAAATTGTATGTGGTTTTAACCTAGAAAGTAATGACACGTGTTTTGTAAAAAAAACTTGTGCGTCGGACAGTGACATGCTCTGACACGCGTTCAATATTTTAGGACACGCGGTCAACGCTTCAACACATTTTGATACGTGTTTCCATCACGCAGTCAACTTTTTTGAAAACGCGGTCAACGCTCTTACTTATTTTTTTTTATGTCTAAATTTTATTTTATTAACTGAAAATGATAAAATGATTTATAAGTCAATTTTTTTTTGTTATGGAATTTGACAAAAAAAATTAACAAGGTATGAAAAACTACTTTTGCTTTATATTTATGTTATGAAATTTGAATATTTAAATGGTTATATGACTTGTTATGGACTGTTATATGTATTAAATATAAATTATATTATATATACTAAAAATATTATTTACCATCAAAACGTGTTCCGACATGTCGAAATATAATTTTTTTGGAATTAACGTGTCGCAGTATCGTGTCATGTCATAACTTGTATCTAGGGGTGTTAACGGGCCGAGCCGAGTCGAGCTTTGGCCTTAAAAGGCTAAGCATGTGTTTAAATGTGTCAGCCTGGTCAAACCTGTTATTGGCATGTGGCCTGACTTATTTACAAAAAATGAAAGCCTGATTTAACCTGTATCAACATCAACATCAACAACACCTTTATCCCAAATTAATTGGGGTCGGTGGTAGATGAACCCACATGAAAGATACAAAACGGTTGAAAAAAAGTTAAAAAATAAAAATAAAAAAATAAAAAAGTAAAAAAGTAAAAAAGCCAAAAATAAATAAATAAAAATATAAAATAAGATAAAATAAAATAACAATATATGTATATATAAATAAATAAAAGTAAAAAAGAAAGGGACAAGAAGAAATGGGGGAAATGAAGGGGGAAAGGACTAAAAAGGGACCATCTGGAACATAGGAATAACAGCGGGTCTAACCCTCCACCATACTTATAGCTTTTCTCCATTCCGTTCTAAGATGTACTGTCCGCCAATCTATATCCCACTCCATTAAATCTTGTTTTACTACTTTCCCCCAAGTAAGCTTCGGCCTACCTCTGCCTCTTTTTGTGTTGAGCTCTTGGTAACAAACTTCTGTTCTTACAGGAGCATCCATGGGTCTTCTCATCACGTGCCCAAACCACCTCAATCTATGTTCTCTCATCTTCTCGGCTACCGGTACTACTCCGACCTTTCGTCGAATATCTTCATTTCTTATCTTATCCATCCTTGTGTAACCACACATCCACCTTAACATCCTCATCTCTGCTACTCTCATCTTATGCTCAGGTTGCCTATGTGCTGGCCAGCATTCTGCTCCATATAGCATTGCCGGTCTTACTGCCGTTTTATAGAATCTTCCTTTTAACTTCAGGGGGATTTTGCGGTCACACAAAAAATGCAGATGCACTGCGCCATTTCATCCACCCTGCTCTGATTCTGTGATTTACATCCTCATCAATCTCTCCACCGTTTTGTAAAATGGAGCCCAAGTATTTAAAAGCATAATATATCAACAGAATGTATCCAAACAGAATGTACTATCAACAATCCTAGTAATTCTATAAATATTCATAAATTCAATGTAAATCCAAACAGCATAATATATAACAAAATTATTCAAAAAGTCTGTTTAACCAGTAAAATGGGGTGAAATAGATTGAGGAGAAAGAGATGGATATTACAAGTAGTATAAAGAATATAAATAAAAATAAATTAATATACTAGGTCAGCTTGATAAGCTCTAAGGCTGAAGTTTTGAATTGAAGCCTGAAAACCTTTTATTAAACGAATGATTCCAATAATTAATTTTAAACATATAAGTTCATATATTCACGAGCCAAATCAAAAGTTCTTGATAAACCCCTAATTTATTTATCATCGGTGGTTATATCCCATATCAAAATCGGTAAAACATAAATTTTAAGTGGCGTAGCAGACAAGACATATTATCTGTTTGTTGTAAGTCATCACTGTGCAAGCCCTATTTTTTTGAATGGACAGCAATATCCCATTTTTCTTTAACTCTTCTGTAACAAAAAATTATCAATAACGTTATACACACGTGTTTTTTTTTCTTAACTTCACTCTTACTTTACCTTTTTTTTCGATAATAAAACAAGAAAGAACACACATTTTAATACATTTTCTCTCTATTTTGATTTTCTAAAGTAAGAAAAGTATAAAAAACAAATAAATTTTGACAGGTCAAGTTTTTACACTACTTTTTTTTAATACACGTTTTTTTCTTTACGTCATTCTCACCCTACTTTTATTATATGCAATCAATTCTTTATAGGTAAAGTTAAAAATTATTATGTATAAATATAATCAATGAATTAATAAATTATAATAATAAATTTTTAAATTTAAATTTAAATTTATATATTATTAGAATCATTTAATTGAATTGTGAGTCAATGTTGAAAATTTATAAAAAAAAATACGTTACAAGAAAAAGTTATTTTTTTTAAAAAAATGTGAAAGTGACACGTCACATTTAACTTAAAGACTTTCTTTATTAAATACATTTACACACTCAAATAATATCACTCGAAATATAAGAAATAAGGTATGCATTTTCAAATGTCTGACCTACGTTAGGCTTTTGTGTAAATATATTAGACATAAACTTATTTCTAAAAATTAAAAGGTCTTATTTAAATTTATTAATCTATTTAAACTTTTAAAATTTATCATGAATTAAAAAAATTAAAAAAATATTTTATATTTTAAAATTATTTGAATAATAATAATTAATTTATTTTATTAAAAATAATAATAGAAAGCTTATAAGCTAGACCTTATAACTTATTTTCTAAATAATTTTTTTTTATTTTTTTCTAAATTTACAAAGTCAATTCTAACATGGCCTAAGCCAGATCACAAGCCCCTAACAAGTCGTCAACCTATTTTCACCCTACCCAATAAATATTTAAAAAGAAAAATATTTGTCCTTTTAAATGACATAATTTATGTTATTTTACTCTCACAAAGAGGTGAGATCCACACCTTTATATTTTTTTGTCCACTTTCTCTCCTCCTTTATCATGTTTTTCTCTCACTTAAAATGATACAACTTTACATCCTTTAAAAATGATACGCATTTTTTTCATATTTAAAATGTATGTGTATTGCTTACAAAAAAAAAAGTATGTGTGTTAAATCAATAATTTTAAATTTAAGTGAAATTTAAAAACATAAAATAAAGAAATATTGAAAATTACAAACAATATAAAATTAATTAATCAATATAAAATTTGTAAATATAAATTAAAAGAAAAAATATTTAATATTCAAAAAAATACGCACAATGAATTTTTAAAAAATAAATTAAAAATTAAAAATAACATTTCTAAATAGAATATTTACTTTATTCTAAAAAATACAGCAATTTAATATAAAAAATACTAGCGAGGGTTTTTAAAGAGAATTGTTAATAACTTTAAAAAATATGAAATAAAAATAAATATTTTAAATTCTTAATATATTAAAGACTTTATTTTTTATTTTTTAATATATATATATATATATAATCATTTCTATAGCTGTTTTACGTACAACAATGACATGTGTATGGTTATGATTTTCATACATTTAATGTTTTAATCTTTTGTATGGTTATGATTCTGCATATTTAATGATTTCACATATATATGGTAAGTATTTGACTGTTGCACGAACCACAACTATAAGAATATATCTTATATATATATATATATATATATATATATATATATATGTATATGCGTATGTATGATTTTAATGTTTCTACAGTGAATATAGATAAGTTACATTCGTTTCTAAAACAACGCCGTTTTTGGTTGAAAAATAAAAAAAAATTATAATGAAAAAGACTATTATAACTCTGAAATAAAATATATTTACAAAAATGTCTTGATTTCCGCCGCAAAACGACATCATTTTGGGTTCAATGTATATAAGTTATCTACATTGACTCTAGAAAAAGCGAACCCTATATATATATATATATATATATATATATAGGTAAAATCATTTCAACAGCCGCTTTACGTACAGCAACGACACGTGTATGGTTATGATTCCCTACATTTAATGTTTTCATCCTTTGTATGGTTATAATTCCTTGCATTTAATGCTTTTAAGTATATATATGGCAAGTATTTGATTGTTGCACGTACAACAGCTCCAAAAATGTAAACCCTATATATATATATGGGTTCGCTTTTTTTGCAGTTACTGCAGATAAGTTGTCTGCAGTAAGCCTAATACGACGTCGTTTTGAGGCGGAAATCATGGTGTTTTTGTAATTTTAGGGCTCGTTTGGTGGACAAGGTAGGATAAGGACGTAAAGGATAAAAGGATTGGATAAGTGTAGGATATGATATGGGCATGATAAGCTCATATCTTATCATGTGTTTGATGTGCACTAGATAAGCTATCTGATAGGACAATAGTATCCTATCCGCTGTTTGGTGTGAATCAGATTGCGCCGGGATATGCTTACATAGACAAAAATACCCTCAGTAATAGATTTACATTTAATTCTTTTTAATTTATGTTTAAATTTTGAGTATACACCATTTTTAGTCCCAAACAAAAACACGGTCCCCACTTTAGTCCCTTACAAAAATAAATTAGTCAGTTAGTCCCTAACAAATTCAAAGTGGACCCATTTAGTTGAAATCGTGGTCCCTCACAAATTCAAAAAAGACCCATATTAGTCCCTCAAAAGGACAAAAATGGGTCCACTTTGAATTTGTTAGGGACTAACTGACTAATTGATTTTTGTAAGGGACTAAAGTAGGGACCGTGTTTGTTGTTAGGGACCAAAAATGGTGTTT